CTGCCCCAGCACCCAAGCGACGTGGACGAGCAGCGGCCTCCAAGGCGGCTGAAGACGCTACAGCGGAACCTGCACCCGCGAAGAAGCGCGGAGCCGCCAAGACTGCTTCGAAGATGGCTGAGAATGCTGTCTCCGGACCTGAATTGGCCCCCAAGAAACGTGGACGAGCAGCAAAGGCTGTCGAGGACGTGCCGGCCGAGATCACCACCAAACGCGGTCGATCGAAGCGTTCAGCCCCCGAGCCCGAGGCAGAAGTTGAAGCGCCTGAGCCTGCGTCCAAGAAGCGACGTACAACACGCAAGGCTGAGGAGCCTGCTGAAGCGAAGCCAGCCAAGCCAGCCAAAACTTCCACCGGAAAGCGAGCCGGACGACCCGCAAATGCTACTAAGGAAGTTGTGGAAGAACCAGCACCTAAGCGAGGCAAGTCAACTCGTACCAAGGCTGCCGAAGCCGCTCCTGTAGAGGAGGCATCTAAGCCCGCCGCTAAACCCCGGGGTCGTGCTGCCGCAAAGAAGGCGCTTGAGCCCGCTGCCGAGGCTGAGGCTGAGGCTGAGCCAGAGAAGCCCAAGGCCCGCGGACGACCGGCGAAGGCAAAATCTGGAAAGGGTGAGCTTCCAAGCTCCAAGAGTGAAGATGCTCCGGCTACAAAGCGAGGACGAGGAGCTACCACCAAGGCCACAACTACAAAGGCCAAGGGCTCTGCTCCTACTGGTGTGACTAAGGCTAAGACAGGAAGGGCGGCGCAAACTGGTGTTCGAAGAGGGCTACGATCCAGAGGTTGATTCAATATTTGAGATTTTCGTGCAAAAGACTTGTTTGGAAAATGATGGGACGGTTAGGCTTTTGTTTTTTTGCTATGCGGTAGATTACGGTACTCGCAATGATCAAGGTATGGTTGGGATGGCATCATGATAGTAACATTTGTACATGGAATAACAACGAGTTTCACGAACGATAATTTTCGAGCGGTTTCGTATTTTTTTGAGTGTCATGTGAAGACGGATGGCTAATAGCAGCTTCTAATCAAAAACCTTCATCGCTAGCGTAACCAAGGAATTGGACATCAAGTCCGGTCGAGCCAAGAGTTGCATCTCTGTATAGCATGAAGTTCGGCCGGTGACTCTGCGTCAAGGTAGACACGCTTTCCACTAGCAAATTGACCCCTCGAGTAAATTCACTGAGTCGAAGGGAAAAAAAAGTTGACTTTACCTGCTAAATGAACTGGGTTACCATGCTCGGCATGAAGAAATGCGGTATTTACGTGTGGTGGTAAACAAATTGGCATATCTCCATTTGTAAATTGAACTTGAAGAAAGTACAGTAGGTCTCCAAACTGGAGTCATCAAATCATTGCCATCCTAATCGCACACAATTTAAGCCTGACCATCAACGCAATGGTATCTTAAGATCAGAACAAAAAAGACATGATCAGTCATAAAGATCCTTATCAACGTCGCCGTCCTTATTCGCATGCGGACTCGTCACCTTGATACCGTTCTCCAGTCGTGGGAGTGTCATGATATACCCCTTGTGGTCGCACCAGCTGCGCACCATCTTGACAGCCGTCTTGATTTCTCTACCGTTGAGCTGCCACAGCGACAGCTCTGCCATGTCCTCATCGTCGAGAGGCTTATCATCATAGTTTGCAACAACCCCGCCTTCCGCATCCTCATCTGTGTTGGCGTTCCTAGGAGTGGTCGATCCTGTGGCAGTAGACTTCTCAGTGACGTCTGTGATGCGGTGATTGAGGTCCGGCAGACGCTGGAGGAACTTGCGCCAGACGGTCTCACGAGCCTCGCGGCTGAGAGACTTGAAGAGGAGGTGCAAACTGACTCGGCTGCGGAACGCGGTGTCGATGGTGTGGTACAAATTGGTCGTAAGGAAGATGATTCCACGGTAGTACTCGAGCTCACGAAGGAAAATACTAACAAGCTCGTTGCGGTGGATATCGTTGGGGTTACGTTCTGCCATAAAGACATCCGCCTCATCAAGCAAGATGACAGCGTTCCACTCGGTCGCCATTTCAAACACACGCTTGATGTTGGCGCCAAGAGAAGCGGCATTGATACCCAGATCCTCAGCTTGCAGATAGAAGAGTGGACGGTGGGTGCGGTCCGCGATGGCTTCGGCCATGAGGGTCTTTCCTGTACCAGGAGGACCCGACAGCAGCATAATAAGGCCTTGACCCTTGCCAACAATGACATCCTCCATAGCTGTTGAAGCGCCATTGGTGAGACTGTGGTTCTCGACGAATGACAAGACCAGATCCTTCTGTTGCTCATCGAAGACGAGGTGCGAATAGGCTTGGTCGTTCCAAACAATCGGCTCGAGATCCTCGACGTAAAAGTACACTAGAGATCGTTAGCAGAAGCGTGAAGTATTGTAAAGCGACAGTCTCACCCCAGAGCTTGTTCTTCAGAGCGTAACCGCCAATCAGCTCAGACATAAAAGCCAATTCATTTGGATTTTGGAGAAGCTCCTCCCTGTTCTTTGTCTGCTCCTCCTCGTTGAGCCTCTTTTGCTGACTCTTGGGATGCTTGCCCTCAGGCTTGACCTCCTCAAGCTCCTGCCTGCGGCGGCGTCGTGACACATCAACCACTTCAATCTCCGGGTCCTTGTTCTCACGTTTGCCCTGAGCAAGATGATACTTGTTGTAGCCCACCACGTCGACCAAGATGCGGCATTCTACGTTGTGCTTTTCGAGACCTCCATCACCAGGGTGCAAAGCGATGCCATTGTAGGAACAGTAGGTCAAGCCCTGTAGATCAAGCACCTTCTTGCCTCGCGTCATTAGGCGGGTCATGATGGAGTCTCTTTCCGGGTGCATGTCGAATGGGTAATGACGGAGGTCACGAATTGGCTTGTTGCCAGCGAACTCGTTGATAGTCAGTGGCTTCTTCCTCCAGACGAACTCCTCTCCATTGAATGCCATGATCTTGGCAGTCAGGACGAGCTGTACAACACCGTCATTGGTATCGTACTCCGTCCCGTCCACCTTTGCGATGAACTCGCTGTTCATGCCATAACTATAGACGGTCGAGTCCCTGGGGAAGAGGGTCCAAGCGGTTCGGAAATCGACGAGGCCTTTGTCGAGCAAATTGCGCCGCTTGATCTTGAGATCGCGGAAGATCTCATCAAGAACTCTGAGGAACAGCTGCAAGTAACCCTTGAGCGGGTCATCCTGTTTGGTCTCTCGATACAGGTCTCGGATCTCGTCTTGGCAGAACCATAAGGGGCGGAAAGGTTCTTTGAAGGTCGCAGTATCGTGGACGTCGAGATGGATGTTTTCCTTTTTCAAGATTGGCTCGAGAGCGCTGACCAACAAGGGGTTTTGAACATCAACTTGGTGGTACTTGAGAGGGTAACGGCCGGAGACGGCGCCCTTCAAGAGGTCCTTGATCTTGTATACCTTGATGGCAACACGGTCCCGGGCTTTGGCAACGGACTTGGAGACTTGCTTGGGTGGAAAGTCCTGCCAATCCCAATCATTTCTTGTCGGCGAAGAGTTCTTGCCCTCGTAAAGGGTCTGGATGACGGTGTCAGCGCCAAAGGTGGGATCTTTGTTGTTGACCTCTTCGGGTGTTTCCTCCTCGTACTCCTTCTCAAGATCAACGGGCTCGTCTAGAGGGGAGTTCTTGCGATGGAGGATCTTGTACTTCCACTTCCACATGAGGTCAGACGTATTTTCTCCGATCTCTGAAAACATCCTGAAGCGAGATCTTGTGGCGTAGGAAGAAACGGAGGAGGATGAGGTGGTTGAGAAAGAATAACGACGAGCAACACGGGACATATTTGAAGATTAACGAGATGCCTAGGTTGAAAGTCAAAAAGAGTCCTAGCAGGGACTAGGAGGAATATAAGTCAAGCCTCATCTGGGGAGTAAGGGACTGTAGGTCCTCCGGCCTAGCTGACGGGTTTATTGTTGCTACAATGGAGGCCTATCGATGGTATTGGCAGGGATAAGGTCCAATAGCTCAGGATAGGCTGTTGCCTGGTTTGTTGCCTCACCATTGACGCCATTATCAGCCAGAGACGGCGGGGAGATGTCAAGAAGCTTCATGTACGGTAGTTCGCAAAAAGGCGTTGTTGGGATCGCCCCGCGCTGATTGCATACTGATGAAGCTCGGATTGGTCAGGTCACTGGAAGGCCTGCAGGATAACAATGAATCAGTGATGCATAAATATGCAGTTGTAATCTCGTGTTGGTCGTAGTTGGTTGTACATCCATCCTGCCATTTGTCTCTTTAGTTGCCAGTGTCAAAGCTGAGATCCCTGGTGGATGGCTGAAGTGATGTTGTACTTGTGGTACCTAGGACTTTTAAGGGACCGGGCACCAGTCCTGACTCCTTCCCGGACCCACTGGAGGAGCTTGGACCTCTGCCTAGCTGGTGGATCTCCACTTGGCAGATGTGACCCTGAAAGAAACAGGCCACATTCTTAGCAAATTGACCTCCATGAAATGCCCGTCGTCATCGGAAGATACTCGCCTAATTTTGGCTGCTTTGCTCTGACTTTCAGCCCTACTGCGCCCAGCTCGCCCAAGGCAACAACATAAGATGAGCTTGGAAGGCTCAGCACTAGGCATATTACGAGGCATGACCGTAGGTAACATGATTTTTAGTTAGTAACACAAATAAGTGGAATAAGTTTGGAACCGGATTTCTGTCTTGTATCACGGTGATAATGCGCTTGGCCTTGGGGCGCCTTCAATTGGAAGGCGTTACATACCCTGCATCACCGACAAGAAAGTTGAAGCAGGGCAAGGTTCGAGACAATGCGGGTGGATACTTTGAGCAAATAAGAAATTGGGTCGGGAGATCAGAAGCTTTGGATCTTAAGCTTTGTTCATTGTATTAGACAAGAAAATGCGTGCACTGTGAAACAGCCAATGGATCACAATCCAGGAGTTCATTCACCCAAGCTCGGAGCATTTGACACTCACTCAAATCACCAACACGTCTAGGTTCAAGGGCTACAATGGAATGACTTAATTTCAACAAGCGGGTTTAGCTCAGTTGGGAGAGCGTCAGACTGAAGTCAAACTTCAATCAATTGATATCTGAAGGTCGTGTGTTCGATCCACACAAACCGCATATTCATTTTTTGCTGTTGTGTCTTTCATCCCCGGTCTCTTTTTTTAGCGCCAAGTGGGGTGGGGAGAGAGGCTACGGAGGGAGGAGGATGTCTATCATCATTTTGAAGCCTCCTCAATCAATTGTGGTTACCTTATCTAATCGATGATGAACTATCCGTAGACGCCTGTCTGTTGTCTAACTGCGGATGATCGCCTGGGCAAGCACGCGGTCGTAAAAAAACATAAGCCACCAAAGAAGTCATTACTCAGAGCAGAGGCCTGATATTATATTATTTTTAGATTCGAAATTAAGGATAATTATATCTACAAGAAGTCTAAGGTTTCGATAATATCTCTTTTAGTTTATAATATTTTTTATCTGACCTTATTATAGATAATCTAAGGTTAAAACATATATGGTCTTTAGTATTGCCTGTATTCTGTATGCTGGCTGGGCTGGGACTTTGGTAGATCATGTTTGTTTACGACCGCATGGCAAGATAGTCCCTCCTAATGGGTCGGCTGCAAACTCGCTTCGACGTCGCTAAGATGTCAGAATAGGTAACCATCAACCAGTCTTCAATTGCCGAACATGCCCGAAACCAACCACTTCTCTTGCGTGCTTCTTCGGTGTTGGATGATTGTAAGCGAGTTCCGATAACCCGATGCATTGCAACTTCGAGGCCGCGCCAATATCGACGACTCAAATAACCCGAGGGCCCCCGTTGACATCGCACCCCGCGCGAAGCAATTAATCATCAGCCCTTCAACATGCTCCCAAAGCGTTGATAGGTCGTCGATCATGTAGCCAACCGTCATGTCCTCTGCACCATCGACGTCGGAAGTCGGCCTGGAGGGCATCTCCGAGGGGCACTTCCCCACTAACTGTGAGCCTGTCACTGAGACGTCAGGTATAAGAGGCCAACAACTTCTGGCTGCAAGCATAACATGATTCAAACTCAATCACGTCGCAGATAGATAGACCTGCTCTTGTTAATCCTGCGACAATGGCTGCCCCCAAGAGACCCAGTTTCCTCGTCATTGTGGCCGACGACCTTGGCTTCTCTGACATTGCTTCCTTCGGCGGCGAGATCAATACGCCAAACCTCGACAAGCTTGCCAAGAATGGAGTTCGTTTCACAGACTTCCATGCCGCTGCTGCATGTTCTCCATCTCGGGCCATGATCATGACCGGTACAGATCATCACATCGCCGGTCTGGGCAACCTCATCGAGTGGACAAACGTCTCGGGCCAAAATGACCCGAGCGGTACAATGTCTACCAATGTACAGCGCGGAATGCCTGGATATGAAGGTTACCTCAATGAGAGGGTCGTTGCACTACCAGAAATCCTTCGCGATGCTGGATACCAGACCCTCATGGCGGGTAAATGGCACCTTGGACTTACGCCTGAGAGAAGCCCTAAAGTCAGGGGGTTCAATCGTAGCTTTGCCCACCTCCCGGCTTGCAGCAACCATTATGCTTATGAGCCGCAGTTGGAGAACCCTGCTGAGGACTCGCCTGAGTTCCTGTCTATGAGCGTCATTGCCCTCCACAGTGAGGATGGAGAATATGTCCGCAAGCTCCCTGACGGGTGGTACTCGTCCGACGGGTACGGTGACAAGATGTTGCAGTACTTGAAGGACTGGAAAGAGGGTGGCGATGAGAGGCCATTCTTTGGATACCTTCCTTTTACTGCTCCCCACTGGCCGCTTCAAGCTCCACAAGAGCTGATCAAGAAGTATCGGGGTGTTTACGACGATGGACCGGACGTTCTTCGTCAGAAACGCCTTCAGAAACTCAAAGAGTTGGGACTCATCTCTCAAGATGTTGAGCCTCACCCTGTCGTGGCGGAAGAAGTCAAGGAATGGAATGACATGAGCGAGGAGGAACGCGCCAACTCATGCCGTGCGATGGAAGTCTTTGCCGGTATGGTTGAAGCCATCGACGTCAACGTGGGCAAGGTTGTCGACTACCTTGAGAAAGTGGGAGAACTTGACAACACCTTTGTGTGCTTCCTCTCCGACAACGGTGCCGAAGGCGCTGCCTACGAGTCATACCCTATTGTCCAAGGAACCGTGATGCAGCATCTCAAAAAGTACTACAACAACCATATCGACAACCTTGGCAACGGAGACTCATTTATTTGGTACGGTCCACGATGGGCTCAAGCGGCCACTGCCCCGAGCAGACTCTACAAAGCATACACAACCGAAGGTGGCGTGCGCGTTCCTTTCCTCATGAAGCCTCCGTCTTCTTTCTCCCAAGCCGTCAATCCCAACGATATCACCCACCAGTTCTCAACAGTCATGGACCTCGCGCCCACTATCCTCGACATGGCCGGCGTTAAGCACCCTGCACCAACCTACCAAGGCCGTGAAGTCGTCTCCATGCGCGGCAAGTCCATGGTCCCATATCTCTCTGGCTCATCTGAACGCATCCACGAGAAGGACTTTATCAATGGATGGGAAACATGTGGTCGTGCAGCCTGTCGCAAGGGTGATTGGAAGATCGTCTTTATCCCCAAGCCAAAGGGCCCTGAGCGATGGCAGCTGTACAACCTAGCGAAGGATCCTGGAGAGGTGCATGATCTGGCAGAGGAAGAGCCTGAGCGTTTGCAAGCACTCATTAAGCTGTGGGATCAGTACGTTTTGGAGACGGGTGTTGTGCCGTTAAGCCCCGAGCTTGGAAAGTGGATGGCTGCCATGGAGGAGCAGATGCCTGAGAATGCGTGGATTGAGTATGAGTACTGGAAGTATGGTGCTAGAGACGATCCAAAGAAGTTCACGAGGCAAGTTCCGAGGTTTGAGCGTCAAGTCAAAGCTATCTAGGTGTAAGTAGCCAAGAAATATCTGTGCAGTGTTCGGGATAATGCCTTCTTGAATGACCAAGTAATACTCCGATAGCAAGATGCCGTATCCTTTCTCAACTTGCATCAAATATGTACAAGATCTAATATCACTACATCCATCTTAACCCGCAGCTAGTTGATCAATACCACGTTTTATCTCATCGGCCCACCAGTCCAAACTATGCACGTTATATCTGTTTGTCAACGACACCTTCTACAACCTCGCCATAGACCACCTCTCAACCAAAGAATTCCAAGCACGCATTCATTCACGGATCCTCCTTACAAAGAATAATCTTCACCGATAAATCATTCTTGACCGCACTTTGGCATTACTGTTTGACCGCATAGGCCTTTCTACACCTTCTGCGCAGCTACCCGAAGGCCACGGGGACAAACCGACCCACGCTCCTCTCGTCATCACCGAAACATGTTTGGCGACAGCAAATCCTCTTTGAAAAGACGGAAAGACTTATAATACCCTCTTCTGGAATCATTCTTCCCCTTCTTTTTTCTTTGATCTTATCTGCGGTTGTTTCTTTCTGCGCCCCGCTTCACGCACGTTGCCACTGACGACGGCTTCTCTATCAATGGCGATGCGGGATGAATGAATAGAAACCAGCTGCATTGTACAACGATTCTTGTTTTTTTTTTCTGCTCAACATTCACTCGAGACAATAGACAATTCACTGGACTTCAATACGCGAGTCTATAAATTGTTCTCAATATCCTGCATCATTTTCAATCTTGATCCTCTTGTCATCACACACTCTACCTACCTAACAATACTCGCTCTTCTTACTATTGTCTATTGTTACCCATCTACAATAGAGTCTTGCTATCACTGTCAGTCAATATGGCGCCTCCTTCTACACCCGAGTCTCACAAGAGTTTCAGTTCTGAACTCAACGTTACTCCTTCTCCTACTCAGATAACCCCCTTTACCGAACTGGGCACCAACAGCAACGTTCGATCTTTGAAGGCCAGAATGACTCAAGCTCAATGTTTTAACGACTCTCCCAGTCTTCGCAACAATCGTGTCCCCAGTGCCCAGTACCCTGCTGCCGCCCCTACTTCGGAGCCCTTATCCCCCGCTGTCGACTGGAAGCCCCGACAATCTCTCCAAGAAGCTATAGATTCTGCGCCGACGTATTACTACTCAAAGGACGCTTGGGCTGACGATAGTGCTTCTCGAAAGCCTCAGCATCCCCTTGCTTTCAGTCTCATGGCTGCTCAGACAGCTACACCGGCCAACCCTGTCCGCCAGCCGGCTATTCCCCCTTCCGACCACGCTTCCTCGATGAGAACCAGTTTCCCTGGAGGTCTGGCTCCCTCTCCGGCCATCTGGGAAGGTCTCAAGAGTCACTTCGAGCAGCTCGAATTGAATGCTGGACTCACTCCTGCACCAGCTCCCGACGCTCAGCCTCCCTTTGCATCCACCCAAGGAGCCCAACCCTTCCAGCTCCCCGGCTGGTTGACCCAGTCCATTGAACAACAGTCTTATGGAAACAACCACATGTCTCCCATGAAGCTCGGCAGCCCAGTTATTCGCCAACCCTCAGCCTCTCGAGGCTTCAGACCCATGGCTGCTATCGCTCAAGCTCGCCCTGTTTCCAACCGCTCCGCCCACGACGACGACCAGACTGAAACGGCCGTCTTCTCGGGCAACTACAGAGGCGAACACACGGTCCGTAATGCCAGCGCTGCTAACCTCACGCCGGAGCAGAACTGTGCTCTATGGTTGACCAACCTTCCTCCCGATGTCACCCATCGACAGCTCCTCGCACAGATCCGCAACGTCGGTCGCATCTGGTGCACCGTCATCAACGAGCCTGACTACGACCGCCACGAGACCGCCGCTGCAAAGGTCGTCTTCTTCACGCCTGGTCCCGCTCAACTTCTCCTCTCACAGTCCCTCACCCAGGGTCTTCATGTCGGTGGATACGCCGTCCGAGTTACCCACAACCGCGTCAAGTACGGCGAGCAACCCCTTGTCGGTAGCGCCTCTCGTGTCCTCATCATCACTGGAAAGACAACCTTTGTCAACCCAGAGAGCCTGACCGAATTCTTCAAGACGCGCTTCGTCTTTGAGGTGGATGAGATCACTAATCTTATCGTTCACGGCGAGCGGGACAATGGCGGACGATCTGTTGTCGAGTACCGGTTCG